CGAGGTACCAACTAAATGACAGTATTTTTTCGAAAGTCCGTAAAGTTTTTGGTAAAAAGTTTTCACTTCCCCAAGGTTGTCCAACTTGCCTAAATACGGCTTATTTACAACCAACTTGCTCGAACTTATCAGTTCATTCTATATAAAGAGATCAAAAGTGGTATAAGTCGAATGTTCCTTTCTGATTGCTCCCGGAGTCCTCCCGGACTAGTCGCATTTTTTGTAGGGTATGTATGTACAATGTAGTAAGCATACAAGTACTGCGAATGCGGCACATATGTTTATTTGTCGTCTGCGCTGATTGAGTGACTGACTGACTGTTCATTTCGCGGTTTTCAGTTTTTTTATTGGCATTTGATTGAATGTTCAACATGTGATACGAGTACACACACTTACACTGATATTTATTTATACTTCTACAAACATACATTTGTCTATTAATACCGTGAATGGCAATTCGATTTAATGAATGACTATTTGCATGGCGCGTTTATGCCACACACAGCAATAAAAAAAAGCGTTGCATTTGAGGCGGCATGAGGCTGGCAGGTGGCTAAACATTTCATAGAATCGCCGCGAAACTTCCTACCCTACGGTGGTTTGTTGCGTCTCAGTTCATTTCATGGTGACTTATTCATCGTTGCATTTCCTGTGTGAATCCGCCACAGGAAGCGAAGCGGCTTGAAATGAAATAGTATAATTTTTAATAAATTTTTAGTACTACATAATAGAAATTTTATAAGCCGGCGGTACGCCTTAAAGCCAATTTTATGCACCGCTTTCGCTTTGCAAATTGTACACACATCGATTTTTATTTCACATTTCCATTTGGTAGACTCCTTCTGCGCTACGGCTGCCACTCACTGTTTAAGTACTTAACTACGCTTACGCATTTAATTTAATATTGCGTTGATTGCATAGCACCGTAATAACAATCAACAATTGCTTTATCAAACGTACGCCACCGACAGCCAACCCAGCTAGCTTAGCTTATCTCACCTGGTCTGGGCTCTCTCCAGCCGCAGGGCAAAAATTTAATACAATCGCATTTGGCGTCATCATTTTTTTCTTTGGCTTTATAGCAATGGCAATGTTGGAGTCGTTGGTAAATGTTGCTTATTTTAGTTGATTGTTTTTGTTTGTAGTCAACACTCTACGCCATGCCGCAGTGGCTCCTCTGCTGGTAGCTTTGCTTGCTGGTGCTATTGATGACATGTTGTAGCATGCGGCATGCGGCATGCGGCAAGCTGCTACCGCGGCGCGCTTCTTCACGCTGTGTGGCATGTTTATTGGCGCTGTTCTCTGCAATTTTGTTGCATGCCACGTGCACCGCGTCAGCAAAAATGCCGACAATGGTATGCTGTTGCAACATTTTAGCGGTTTTACCGAATAAATGGAACATAAATGCATGCCACATGCAATTTTTATTGTGCGAACCCTTTTGTTTATTTCATTGAGGCATTCGGCTACGCATTCATATTTTTTGTGAGAAATTTTGTATGCAAGCTCTGTAAAAAGTGGCTTCCTTATCTGTACTTTACATTTGACCGAAATTAGCACGAAAATTCTGCCTAATATATGTAGTTTCAAGATAATGGAAAAAAGACAGTACGCAGGATAGTTTGAAAGATTTCGTTTTTTTTCTGGAATGAAAGTCTTACAAAAAAACGCTCCCTTGCCAACTTTCATGGTGAGCAAGGTACTGGCGTGCTATTCGAGAGATCTGAGCCTGGGATCCTCGGGCAGCGAAACTTTTTGAAAGTTATTTTTTTTTTTTTTTAATTTTTAGATTTTAATGGTTTCATACAAAAATATGCATTTTTTATTTCATTTCATTTCATTTTTAGAAATTCATTTTATGAATTTTTTCTATCTTAGTTTAGTTTTCTTGTAATTTTTAGAATTTTTTTTTTTAAAGAAAAATATTTTTTTAATTTCATTTAATTCCTACTTATTTTTTATTTCATTTAATTTTTAGTATTTTTTTTTTATTCTTATTAATTACACGTTTTTCTTTTTAATTAAATTTTCCTTTCATTTCTAGGTTTTATTGTTTTAAAAAATTGTGTTAAAAAATCCCGAAGCCTCACAAATTTTGAGAAAATACCCGAATAGTCCCCAAAAACCGACAAACTGAAAAAAATTCAACACAATTCAGAAAAAAAGTTTCGAAAATCCCGAAAAAACTTGAAAATAAATAATGTGGGAGTCAAAAACCATCCGGAAAAATAATGGGAAGTACACTAGTCCCGAATACTTTCAAAAATAAAACAAAAACTGGAAAACTAACAAGAAAAAATTCCGAAAAGTAAAAAAACTTCAAATAGCCAAAAAAAAAACGCAAAAAAATCTCAAACAGTTCTGAAAAATGCAAAAATAAACGTAAAATCGTGAGAAAATCTCGAATAGTTTGAAAACTCCTAAAAAAATAAAAAAATAAAGAAAATAATAAGGAGCAAATTAAAAATCATCCCGGGCAATAATGGGAAGTAAAAAAGTACCGAAAATATTTCGAGCACTCTCGAAAAAACCTAACAAACTTAAAAATGTTCCGAATTGTCAAAAAAATCTGAATACTTAGTAAAAAAACGCCAACAACGAAAATGAGAAAGTTACAAAAAATTTCAAATGGTTCCGAAAAACGCCAAAACAAAACTTAAAATCGTAAGAAAATCCTAACTCTTGCAAAAAAACGTGTTCCTGGAACGCGTCGAAATCAAAAAAAAAACTATCCCCATCAATTCTCATTTTACATAATTGTCGTATAATCTACCTACCCGGGTCTTTTTTTCTCTTAACGAATAACAAAATATCGCTTGAGTCTGAAGACTGGTGGAAACAATTTTGAACCCTTATTCATTCATACTCCCTCATCGGTGATATGCTGAGCTAAATTAAGTTTAAATAATTGTAACAACAACAAATAAAATCATTAAAACCATCGAACGCCTAGCAGCTGTCATTCACTCTGACATATTTGGCACACTTTTAGTGGTGGATTTTCGTTTGCTTTCCCATTTTATGTATCTATACTGACCTAGGGCAAAACGAAATGAATTCGATTAAAATTCGAAATGACATACAACGAGATGCAAGGCACGTTTATAGTGCATACATATTAGGGATGTTAATTTGTTGGCTTTTTACGATGCCGGGATTTTTGGGATGTCGTTATCTCAATCCCGGGCTTTAGATATTCATGACTTTTCGACAACTTAAATCGAAAAAATTTTTAATTTAAAGTGGCGTTTTTATTTTTTCTCTCTGACATCAGAATTTGTCTTAAAGGACTTTGTAATTTCAAAGATATGATTCATTCCAAAAATTATTTAAAAAATTCGATGCATTGTAGAATATAAATATGGGTACCAAAAAAAAGGGGGAAGAAAGAAGGAAGGAAATTTCTTTAGAATTTAATAAAATTAAAATGTTTTTGATTCACAAGGATGAATAGCTAAGTTTTTAAGCTGATAAAGTTAGAATTACGAAATTCGAGGATGTTATCGTGTTTATATAAGTCCTTAACATATACTTTTTTCAAAAACAAATATTGCTATATTTCAAGGAAAAGATTGTAAAAGGGCATTTTCAATACCTACCAGTCCATATGCACAAAAAATTTTATCTGATTGATACCCATACTTCTTCTTTAAGCACATTTCACTGAATTTTTTAAATCATTTTAGAATTACTTACATCAGGGTGAAAAACTAAAGCGCAATTTTACAATATTTGGCCCATGGTTTCACGAATATATTGATTTTTGTGTATGAAATTTACTATCGCACGGTGTTATGTATGTATGTATATGTATAATGTGCTAGACATTTATGAAAAAATACTCATTATTAAAAAACAATAATAAATATAGCTAATACTGGTCAAGAAAAGGAGTTTCTATTATTGCCATCAGTGCAAATTACAAATCCCGGGATTATTTGCCAAGAATCCCGGCATTTTCGGGACCTAAAAAAGGCCGTGATCCCGGGATTAACATACCTAATACATATGTATGTAGCTTGTGAAAATTCTGCCCGCCACGCTTATGGTATTAGCATTTGCGGGAGGGAGCGTTGCGCATTGAAAAAATTCAGTTGCCGCTGCTACTCCCTTATATCCGCTGCTTGCATATATTCTTATGCCTCTTGGATTTATGCTAAAACTAAAGAAAAATTATAATAGGACACGTGGGCAACAATTTGCTGCGGGATGTGTGACTTACATGTGTATGTGTGTGTATGTATTTATTAGTTATAGTCCCTTGATTTTAGTTGTCATAAAACGGAACTGCACAAAAATATGCAAACCAGTCCGAGTACTTGCATAAATACGTACCCATATACATATGTACATACATATGTATGTATGCGTATTTGTACACGCGGATTTTCCTAATTCCATAAAGCTAGTAACCAAGTTATATAACTTCTCCTCTTTTCGTAAATGTTCTCTCTGTGGGAAATGCTTTGAGGGGATGTGGGCAAAAAAGTTTTTATTTAATACTCAGCAGTTACAAAGTTTTTAAGTAACGAAGTAGCAAACAACAAATAATATAATTTTTTTTTTAGTTAATGTGCATCATATTTTTTGCTTCCTCTTCTATGTGCTGAGATAAGCGCTTTTCATATAAACCGTTTTTGTTGTCCCTCGGTTCGAGTTCTACTAAGATCTTGAAATGAACTGTTTAAGATTAAGAATAAAAAATAAAAAAGGGCTGAATATTTTAAAAACTTAGGGAAAACGACTTCTAGAAACTTCTATATGTGTATATATAGATATATATTTTGTTGCATCCGATTGATCCTGTTCTCAAACATTCGGCAGTCTCCTGTATGGCCGCAAGTTCGGCTTGGAAAAACTCTTGCTCTTAAGAAAATTAATGCACGGAAGAAACTTTCGATATACTTACACTCACATGCTCTTGAATAGGGACAATGCTTTTTCGGTTTTTTTCTTGGTTATTTTTCTTTTAGTTTTCTTTAATTTCTTCCAATTTTTTTCGATTAAAGTACACTTCATTGATTTCATTTGATTTTAATTCAAAAGAAAAAAAGGTAAAAATTCAACAAAATTTCAACAAAATTTCAAATTTCTCTAACAAACTATTTAAAAAAGCAAGTTACAAGCTTTGTAGTAAATTTAACAAAAACGCATAAAATTTTCAACAAAATTTTAAACTTGTATTGCAGATTTGAAGTATGTAGCTGTAAATTACCTTTGATTTTTGAAATCTTATTACTGAGGCTTCACCCCAACTTTTTCGATATAAAAAATCCACAGCATGCTTGGAAAAAATTGCGGAAGATCGTTTGTAAAAAATTTTTCAAAAATCAACAGAAATTTGTAGCTACTTCAAACCTGCACCTTATTGTACTAAAGTTAAAAGGGCTAAAAAAATGCATATTCCGATAATTCTAGAAACTCTGAGAATGAAGATTGAAATGTTTATGAAAACTGTATTTGAATTGAAAAATAATGAAAATTAACTAAAAGAAAAATAACCCAGAAAAAAGCGAAAAAGCCAAAAATCAAAAAAGCATTGTCCCTATTTAGGTGCATGCGAGTGTATGTAAAATATGCTCGGAATGCACAAGTACCTACAAAAAATGTCTACTAGTATTTTAGGAAGTACTCGTGAATGTAGAAAAGGGTGCGCGCGCGCAATTAACAAAATTTGATTTCAATGCAATATTTGCATGCTGATGATGGAGGCGTTGAACGAAAATTCTGTAGCAAAATGTAATTTTTGCATGACGAACGAATTAAGGCAGAACGAGAAAGGAGCCATAAGAATTAGATACATAAATGAAATTGAAAACAAAGCTACGAGCAAGAATATGATAATTGTAGAGCAAGGTGTGGCGCCTCGCTGCGAAAATTCCTGCCGTATTTTAGCAGGCACTTAGAATATTTGCAAGCTATTTGCATACATGAGCATGCGCACTTGCATTAGTCCATTTGTTGTTGTGCATATGTATGGTTTGTATGTATGTTTATGTTGATGTTGGTATGCATGCAGTACCTCAACATTAATTGAATTTAATTACAGAAATGCTAGACGATTACAAGAAACATGATCATTAGTCATTAGCGCGAGAGACCTTGTGGCAAATAACTATGTACATACATAACTGCACGCATACTTACATACATTTGTGAGAACGCGACCTTTAGGAAAAATTTTGAACTGGTGAGCCTATAACTCCAATAAGCGCTAATTAATAATACCCGTGCTATGCAGTAAGTTCCCAACTATTTTTCGCCGCCATAATCCAGTGCATGGATACATATCTAGATGTTGAAAAAATCCAGTGGCAGAATAACCTTTTAAACTTANTGATGGAGGCGTTGAACGAAAATTCTGTAGCAAAATGTAATTTTTGCATGACGAACGAATTAAGGCAGAACGAGAAAGGAGCCATAAGAATTAGATACATAAATGAAATTGAAAACAAAGCTACGAGCAAGAATATGATAATTGTAGAGCAAGGTGTGGCGCCTCGCTGCGAAAATTCCTGCCGTATTTTAGCAGGCACTTAGAATATTTGCAAGCTATTTGCATACATGAGCATGCGCACTTGCATTAGTCCATTTGTTGTTGTGCATATGTATGGTTTGTATGTATGTTTATGTTGATGTTGGTATGCATGCAGTACCTCAACATTAATTGAATTTAATTACAGAAATGCTAGACGATTACAAGAAACATGATCATTAGTCATTAGCGCGAGAGACCTTGTGGCAAATAACTATGTACATACATAACTGCACGCATACTTACATACATTTGTGAGAACGCGACCTTTAGGAAAAATTTTGAACTGGTGAGCCTATAACTCCAATAAGCGCTAATTAATAATACCCGTGCTATGCAGTAAGTTCCCAACTATTTTTCGCCGCCATAATCCAGTGCATGGATACATATCTAGATGTTGAAAAAATCCAGTGGCAGAATAACCTTTTAAACTTATGTATATAGCATATCTGGGGATCTCTGAAGTCAACTAATTTGCCATTTCATTGCCAAGAATGATGCTATACCCTAGCACTCAGATCAGGCCAACTTTGTACTGATGAGCACCACAGATTATGTACCCTCGTCCCTCCTTTATAAGACTCCATGCACTTAACTTTAGACGGTGATACAAACTTTCATATGGATCGCTGGTTTAACGGACAGCTTTAAGCTAAATTCATGGGGCAGTTGTATTTGCCGCAACAGGTGCCATGCAATTTTGATCTTTCTATCGAAAATTCAGCTATATGGTGATTCAAGGGTGATGCAGATCTTTCAGACAATTGGCGCAAACTTAATCATGGAGCGATACTCAGTTGAACAACGCGTAAAAGTGATCAAAACGTTGTATCAAAATGTTACTTCTGCAAAAAATGCATTGCATGCAATGCGTAATTTTTTCGGTCAACAAAACCGGTCATCTGCGTCAACAATCAGCCGTTTTGTGCAGAAATTCGAGAGAGTGGGTCCGTGCAAAACGTTAGAGCACCGTGAGTTACTGTTTGGTGTGGATTTGGGGCTAGCGACATGATCGGACCGTACCTCTTCGAAAATTATGCCGGTAACAAGGTTACGTTAGATGACATGGCCTTGGACAATATATGGTTTCAACAGGATAGTTCTACTTGCCACACAACGCATGAAACAATGGACGCATTAACCCCCGACAAAATGCCGAGCCTTTACGATTTGACGCCATTGGACTTTCTTTCTCTACGGCTGCGTGGAAAATATGGTCTATGCCAATAAGCTCAAGACAATCACAGAGCTGAAGAACGAAATCATACGCGCAATAAATTATATACGGCTCGAACTTTTCCAAAAAGTCATGGAAATCGAGGAATCGGGTTGGGCCGTGTGCTGTCAAGTAGTGGAAGTTCATGTCAGATATTATGCCAATTCCTGCAAATCCAGGAGTCGATGGAGGACTTCATGAAATACCCATATATGAACTTGCTTTCCGAAGAGCAAATTGCCATTTTCCTTAACCTTAGGGCCTTTTTGGCTCTTGCCTGACCACATTCAGTCTCACAGCTGGCCATGAACTGATTGTTCCTGATCGCAACGATCGAACTGTATCGCTTCCATATGGATAGATTTCTCTTGAGGTAATCTAGTTTGCATATCAGTACCCCTAGTGACAAGAACATTTGTAAAACCAAAAGGTAAGCCGACTAAGTGTTTATGTAATTGTAGCAACAATCTCTGGTAGTTTGCTTAGTGATTGTGTGTTAGGTCCACTACAGCGACCAACGACAACAACCACATACAGCCATTAAATAGCAACAACCGGACGACAGTCGTCAGCTGCCAAACGTGTGTCGCACAAATTGAAATTGACTTTAAGGTGTCACATGGCGCCAAATAATTACGGCCACGATACACAGATTGCCACTGCGATACCCAAATGCAATGAGATTTGCAACTATAAATAATCGACTCGAAAAGTATGCACGTTTGAGTGCATATATTTGTATGAACAAATGAGTATAAAGATTTAAGCGACTTAATGACGATTTCTACAATTCTGCTCCGCTCCGAAGACTTGTTGGTCCGCTGACATTTGTGTACAGTAGCGCTTTAAATTGATGCAGCAGTTGCGCACACAGAGTTGACAAAATGACAAACTGATAAAAAGTAGTAGCAAATGCAACATCAACAACTATCGTACATACAGATACATACATACATACGAAGATATAGTCGCGCGCTGCAAAAGTTTATCCAAAGTAATTTAATTAAAACTGCCTGCCGTCAGTTGGAATTGGATTCGTCGATCAATTGCAGCGCCGCCGTAATGCAAACACAAACATACTTACATACATACATACAAAGAACCACTAAGTATTCGAATATTTCCACGCATTTGTGCAACAGCGCCCGTGGCATTTGCTATGCAACTGCAATCGCAACAGAAGATTGACAAAAGTGAGCGTTGGAAGCCGTAATATGGCCGCCGATAAATCAACATCAAATTGTTGCAAATCTCTGACGAATTTCGTGTGAGCGTGCGCGCGTCCGTGTCGGTTGACTGCCTGCCGGCTTGCCGCCTATCAACAGCCGACTGTCGCTGTTCGAGTTCATGTATTTACAATTTGATTTATTTTGCAAATTATGCGAGGATATATTAATTTTGCAGATCAATATACCGTGCATGACGTGCATGCAATATATGCTGCTGAAAGCAAAAATTTTGCTGCCTTTTTTACTGGACAATCAATTGGACGACAATCGTCGGCGCGATAACAGAAAATTATTTGCAAAATTTTTCAGTTCAATTTTCATGTGACTACATTCGGAATAGTTCAGGGCTATTCCCGGATTATTCCATTGATTCGAAATGATCCCGAAATGATGCCGAACTAGTCCCAAAATTGTCCTGAAGTAGCTTTGAAAAGCTGTGAACTTGTCTCGAAAGGTCATGGAATAAGTCGTCTCTTGATCTTGGAATAGTCTGTTTTTAGGCCGAAAATGATTCCAGCCAAGTTCTGAAATGTTTTTGAACTAATCCCGAAATGGTCCTAAACTAACCTCGAAATGAACCAGAAACTTTCTCAAATGGTCCATAGCTAGTCCTGAAAGAGTTCCAAAAAAATTTTTGAAATAATCCTGAACAGGTCCCGAAATAGCCCTGAAATAGTTCTGAGCAGGTCCCGAAACGGTTGAAAAAGTCGCAAACTTGTCCCGAAGTGGCATCGAGCAAGGTTTGAAACGGTGCTGAACAGGACCAAAAATGATCGTAAACTAGTCTCGAAATGATCCAGTACTAGACCCGATATACCTGGCCCAAAAATTCGTTACCTTATTCTAACGAAAGTCAGTCAAAAATGGAGCATGTGCGTTGTGTGTTCATCCTTCTCCAGGCAGGAGGCACATAATGATACAGCCCGGCTGTTATTCCGTACTCTAATCGGTTATCCGCGCAACGTCCTCTTTGCGGATTGCACTGCCTTGAATCCATACATTTTACGAATAAATTGAAGTAAATTATTGAGTATTAATGAGCTCAGGTATTCGTATCCCAAACACATCGGTTCCAAAAGCCTTATACCTAACCTTTGCAGTGACGGAACAGCAGCACAAAAAGTTGTCCACCGTCTTCAAGGTAGCAAGGATAATGGAGGTGCCAAAACGACGGTACAGTTAGTTAATTGCACTACAGGAAGTGGTCAGTCAGAAGTCCCGCAAGTTGTCAGCGCAATGAAAGCAGAACTGCTTAGCTAGGCCTTCCAATATTCAAGGCAACATGAGTTTTGTCCACCTACAGTCCCTAAAAGCTTCCCAGCTGTTGCTGACCGAGATATTGATCTAAATAATAGTGGACCAAGGAATACATAATCTGTGCTCTCTCTATCCATATGGGTAAACGTCCCTTTACCAAATTCTCCCCGGTGTCCTAGCACCCAGACAAGCTCATCAAGTCAGGTAATGAATATCGCTACTGATACGTAACCACTACCTCTCCAGCTATTTTCCGCTACGTACTTAGGTGACGGCCCTAAGAATTGCTAATACATCGGCTAGAAATGTGGAGAGATACTCCTAAAGAGAAAATTGTACACTGTCCGCGTTACCATCGATATAGCCTCCAGATCTTGACCCCGGGACAGTTTTGAAGGTATCAGCAAATCTTTTATATTATGTAAGCCCGGACTCAGTTCACAACATTTTATTATCTCTTCGTCAAAGGCAATGGCAAAATGTTGCAGGGAAAGCACCCCCACAGTACACTACAATCCTTCTTTGAAGTTTGGTAAGCAGATTTTCCACGCTATTTATGTAAGATTCAGCTTCACCATACCACGCCCTAAGTCGGTACCTATTTACAAGTAAATATGTAGTAAGATTGAGACCTCTTGATCTTGATTTTCCTCTCAATTTATTTATAACCAAGGATCCATGCAACGCATATTTTGCCTTGCGGAGCCTGCTTGTGAGAGGACCTGCAGAAGATCAGCCGTATACTTACCATATAGCTCGTTGCTTGTTCACTTATATCTACGAGTTTCGTATAAAACAAGTTATCAGAAAAGATAAGAGGAGTGATATAGTCTACTAGCTGCAGATTTCTTTGGAATGAAGGTCGGATTCCTTGCCTCACACAGTTTGCGGCCTCTCCAAGGCAAAATTTCATTTAGTCTGTTTGCATTACACCTATCTTAGAGTTTGAAAGCTTGGATTCAACATCGCGTGCAACCAGAGGAAATATACATAATTTTGCTTAAACAAAAATAAAGTCTTTCAATCATTACAAATCAATCGTCTCGTTCCATTGCTTACAATTGCTTTGTCAAAGTTCTTGTAAGTCGTCAAACTTCTTTATTGCCTTGCACTTAGCCAACGTCTTAAAGCGCCTTAACGAACACATGTATATTTGAATACATGTACACATATCTGTGTAAATATCACATTACAAAGCCTTTCTCCTGCCACTGCACTCACTGCCAGATGCAACACAAACCACCTTGTCCGCCTGCAGCTCCTTTTGCGCGGCTTCAGCATTTTCAACTGCAGCTCTATAGCACTTGTAGTAGCACCAATGTCTCAATAGGTGGTCGGTCACGGCCCTAAGACATGTCTTAGCGCTGTCAACTTAACTGTCAACTCCTTCTGCACTTGAAAGCGCGACTACTTGCTCAATGCAACACATGCACTTCTATTAGATCGACTCCAGCGGTCGCCCCACCTTCCACTCGCCGCCCCACATCGAAGCTAGTGGCGCACTTGCTAGCTTTTGAGCACTTGGAAAGTTCCAAAAAGGCAGTGGTGGACGACGCTTCGTTCACAGCTGTGGGTGACAGCACTCTGCTCCGTGGCACACAATGCCTTTCAAGTTTGTGGAGCTCTTAACTCTATGGCAGTTCGGCAACATTTGCAACAACGACAAGAAAGCCTCTTTTCTCTTTGTGTGTATGTGTGTCTGTGTGTGTGACTTTGCTTCACCTCGGTCTTCACGTGCCCTTTTCCATATTTGCGCATAAGCCGAGTTAAGACTACTTTATTGGCAAAAAGTAGTTTTCTGACTTCAATTACTTGCAAAGTGAAGTAGAAGTGGGTACTGTGTATTGTTCCTTGATGGAGGATACATGTGAGTTTGCTAGTTGTTTCCGCTATTGTTTAACATTTTGTGATAAAGCGCCTTTTGTAAAGGCTCTACTTTTGTCGCATATCTTTGGCTTTCGGGTTATTTATTCTATTAATTCTATTACTTCGAAAACTTGAACGCAATTTCTCGCTTTAATTACTTTTCTGTTTGTATTATTTTACACTTATTTGTATTTTATATAGCCGTCTATTTTCTGTTTTGTTTATATTGCTCATGCGTTATGTTGATAGGGTTCGACTTTTTGCGTCGTTGGCGTGTTTCACTCAAGCTATTTTTTTGTATTATTCATTGCAGTAACTCGACTTTGCCTTTAGCTGTTATCTGCACATAAGCTTTTGACACAATTCGATAAACTATTTATATATTTGATAATTATTATAGCGCTTGTTGTTATTGTTGTTTGGTTTTACAGTTTGAAGAGCCAAGTCAGTCGACG